ATAAATAAATAAATAAATTCTTTACCATGTCCTGGGAGGAGCAGGTGAGTGAAGGGAAAAAAGGAGTTAGTGATCTGTGTCAGAGATAGGTAGTTAAGGACTGAGAAAGCCTGAAAAAAAACCCTTAAAAAACAAACAAAAAAAAGGGGTAGGGAGGAGGGAAGCACTTAATAACCACCCTACTATAGAAGCAGAGCTGATGCTCCCACCCCTTGTCTATGTGAAAAGTTTCTTAAACCCTGTGCCCTGCGTTCACATTGAAAAGATTTTTCTTGCTTGCTTCCTTCATCAGGAACACCCAGCCATTACCAGGATTCAACCACCCACCAGCTTACACTGAAAAGGGTCAGCTGGGTCTCAGCTGCAGCCTAACAAGGGAAGAGGAGGCTACTTTCAAACCATGGCCTCTCTAATTTAAAGCTCAGGATGACATACTGGGCACAGTAGATAATTACAAGCATGGGGAGAAATCTATTAATGTACATTCAGGTGGTAGTTCGGAGTGTGAAGAAGCCCTTCCTCCACCTCTCCAGCTCCACACCAGTCAGGTGATGTTAAGCAAGGAAGCTCTGCAGAAAGGGGTTTGGAAGCAAACCTCATCTCCCCGCGAGAATGCTTCTTCCCTCTATGTCTAGACTTGCGCTAAGGAGAGGGATAAAGACTGCCTGTTAGCTAAAAAGGCTGTTGAGCTTGCACAGACCCTTTTGCAAGAAAACTAGAGCTACTCAGTCCATGTGACAGCTCTGCAAAATTTTGTTCTGCAGGTATCTTTTTGTAAGTTTTGTAAGAGCAGTTTTGAAGTGCTCCCCAGTATGCTTGCTCGTGGACTGATCAAACAAGAGATCCTCAACTTGCGCAAAGATGTTTGACATTTAAGAAAGCTCTATGGTTCCTCCTCACTTTTGGGAACAACCCACTTACCTCAAGCGCCACACCCCACCATGGGTGCCAAACTAATTAACAGGAGTTACAGACCCAGACTGAAGGAGCAGCAGGACACAGCTACCAACGAAAATGATCATTTGGGGTCCAGCTTGAATTAACAGGAGTTACAGACCCAGACTGAAAGAGCAGCAGGACACAGCTACCAACCAAAATGATCATTTGGGGTCCAGCTTTTTTCTAGGTCATGAGTTTTACTTTGGGTTCAAACAAGAGTCACTGATCTGATGCATTTTCATTACTTTTTAAATCTATAAAGACCTTTTTAAAAACAGATTGAAATGTACACAAAAGTAATAGCTACAGGATAAGGACTACTAGGAATAAAAACATTGAATACCAGAATTCCTTAAACTAAGGATTTCTGGATTTTTTAAACTACAAAACTTAAAAGATTATGCCAATCCTACACAATTTGATTGGAAAAAAAAGAAAAAAAAGAAAAACAAACCCTCTGCTGTTTTTCAGGCCAATATTCATTTGTGCAATTCAAATGAAAGTAAACAGTCAACACCAGCTACAGCACTAACTGAAATACATTTTCATATCAAGGCAAAGAGGACTAGCTTTCCACAGGTTTAAATATTATTCAAAACAGACAGATGCTCACTCGTAGGCATTCTAGTTACATACATATGTAATAAAACTATACAGTTACATAAAAATCCTTAAGAAAGGGCCAACACACTGGAGCCAGTGAGATCAGGAC